ATAAAGGTAAAGGGTTAGGTAGCCGAGTGTTGTCCTGGTTTGTAACAATAGTATTGATACACCACTTAGTGTCTTTCGTGTATTTTCGTATCCCTAGACTTCTCCTATTACTTGTTGCTGCCTTTGTTTCGGTTTTCTGATTGCATTATCTAGTGTTAGTTTTGTATTTTCGCTTCGGTTGTCAGATTGGTTTGCTTCGGTTGTCATATTGGTTTACTTGTTATTGCCCCTTCCCTTTATTCTTTTCTGAGCCGAGGATCTACCGGAAACAGCCTCTCTGCCTTCTTAAAGGTAGGGGTAAGGTGTGCGCCCACTCTACCTTCCCCGTACCCTACTTATACACTAGGGGTATGTTGTTGTTTATTTTTGTCTGAACACGGCATAGAATGGGCCACGCATCTATGTTAACTAGAAGTCTAGAATTTTGAAAGAAATTAAAATTTGTGATTATAACAAAAGAGAAAAAATTAAATTCAAACTTAGCCATATATCCATGTGCTGGTTATCAGACGTTCCAGTTTGTCCTCTGTGCTACTTTCCAGCAACCACAAACAAACAGTGGACATATAACTCTCAGTTTGCTTATGTCTGCTCTTACATCACCTTATTTGTCTTTGAAACTGAAATTACCACCATATCGGATGCTACCTCTTCAATTCTCAAAAGATATACTTGAAATAAAAACGAAGATTTTAACGTGAAAAATACTTATTTGTCATAAAAACAGAGTGCAAGATGAGTAGAAACAGTATATACTCCATTACCAAAAATAAGAAATTTTGAAAGTCCAAGGGGTTCACCCGAGCTCGTTTCGCTGAAAAATTGTATATACAAAGTTAAAATTATAACTAATATATATATATATATATATATGTTAGAATATATTAATATATAAGCGGAGATAGTAGGATGCAAGGGGTTCATTCAAACCTCCTTCAAGAAAAAATTACAATGAATATACAAGGTCAAGATAATAATTAAAAAAAAGGACAGCTCGATGCACAAGGGATTCCGCGCTCACCAGGGTTCGGGGAAGGGCCACAAGCAAGAATCAGTGGCTGCCTCCTCATAATGAACATGTTAAGTCACACGAATACAACTTTACCTTTGCTCTAAGGCTCCCTTTCAAGATGATATATACCCTCGATGTGTGTTTGTTTATTTAAACTTTGAATCTCCTTAGTGAAAAATTCTGACTCCCACCGAATCATACTCTCAATTAACAAAGTATTGAAGAGATTATTCCACACTAAATAAACTCCCTCACATTCTTTGTTTTTTTTTTCTTTCACAGAACAAGTTTTAATTGCTTTAGATGCATGTCTCTGAACAGAAGCTCATAAGGAGACGTGGCCTCCAAGTTAGCAAAAGAAAATGAGATAATTTGCCAAAAATCTCCCTCCACAAAATTTTCCTTTTTCCCTAAGGCTTGTAGCCGAGCTTTTCCATATAAAATAAGGTAATAACAATTCATATTCTCCAATCTTTCTACTAAATTCAACCAAATGGCAGTTCTTACTAATGAGCAACCACATTTTGTGTTATTTCCTTTCATGGCACAAGGCCATATGATTCCTATGATAGATATAGCTCGATTATTAGCACAACGAGGTGCAATTATCACAATTCTTTTAACACCATCAAATGCCAACAGGTTCAATACAGTTATCGCCCGTGCTATAGAGGTTGGACTTAAAATTCAAGTAATTGACCTCTATTTTCCAAGCTCAGAAGCAGGGCTACCAGAAGGGTGCGAAAATTGCGACATGCTTCAATCTATAGATATGATGAAGAATTTCTTTCTTGCTACTCAAATGCTTGAGTCGCAAGTGGTAGACTTGTTGCAAGAATTGAATCCATCTCCATGTTGTTTAATTTCCGATATGTGCTTTCCTTGGACAACTAATGTTGCCAAAAAATTCGACATTCCTCGGATTGTTTTTCATGGGATGTGTAGCTTTTCTTTGTTGTGTTTACACAATTTGAGAGAATGGAAGGTGTTGGAAAATGTTAATTCTGATACTGAGTATTTTTCAGTGCCTGGTTTTCCAGACAAAGTTGAACTAACCAAAGCTCAACTTAAATCTTTGATTGATCCAAGCAATCCTGAATGGAAAGAATTTGGGGACAAAATGAAGGAGGCAGAAGATGAAGCTTATGGTATAGTGGTGAATAGCTTTGAGGAGTTGGAACCAGAATATGTAAAAGGATTGAAAAACGCCAAAGGTAATGTTGAATTGCTTAAGTGTGTGACCGTCTTATCTGAACACTTATACTGTCAGGGAGTACTTTTAATTACGTTATTGATTAATTATATTATGCCTCAATATGTAAGGGCCTAATTATTTTTCATGCATCAAACATGTCAAAATATTCTTTGCTTTTGGATGGCGATAGAGATTTGAAGCCACGCCCTCTGCTAAGTCCAATATCATGTTGAATTGTGTCACTATCTGATTTAAAAGTTTAACATTGTTAGAGGAAATACACGTTTAGTTGCGTAATTATATTATGCCACCGATGACCTCAAGATTCTTTAATACCATGTTGAGTTCTGTGAGCATCTTATCTAAAAGTTTAAGCTGTTACAGAATGTAAACTTTTAATTGCAATAATTAAATTATATCTCAAACATATGTGGTTTGGTTCTATTTCTTGGGATAAGCAAATGAAAATTTTCTTTGCTTTTGGGGTAGTGGTGAGATTTGAATTAAATCATGACCCATACTTAAAATCACGGTAGACTTGAGTGATCATCTTATCTAAAATCTTAAGTTATAAGAAGGAGCATACTTTTAATTACTAAATTATATTATGTCTCGAACAGGTAAGAAGATTTGGACAATTGGTCCGGTTTCCTTATGCAACAAAGAGAAACAAGACAAAGCTGAAAGAGGAAGCAAAGCCTCAATAGATGAACAGCGCTGCCTGAAATGGCTCGATTCTATGGAGCCAGACTCTGTCCTCTTTGTTTGTCTTGGAAGTTTATCGCGCTTGCCAACATCACAGATGATAGAACTCGGACTTGGATTAGAGTCATCTAAACGACCTTTCATTTGGGTTGTTAGACATATCTCAGATGAATTTAGAAAATGGCTAAATAAAGAGAATTTTGAGGAAAGAGTTAAAGAACATGGAATTTTAATCCATGGTTGGGCCCCACAAGTGCTAATATTATCTCACCCTTCGGTCGGAGGATTCTTGACACACTGTGGATGGAATTCGAGCATAGAAGGGATATCTGCTGGCGTGCCAATGATTACTTGGCCATTATTTGCTGAGCAATTTTGTAATGAGATGCTAATTGCGAATGTTCTCAAGACAGGAGTAAAGTCTGGCGTCGAGAATCCTGTTATGTTTTTAGAGGAGGAAAAAGCAGAAACACAAGTGAATAAAGATGACATTAAGATGGTTATTGAAAGATTAATGGGTGAAGAAGAGGAAGCAAAAATAAGAAGAGAAAGAGCTAAAAAGCTTGGAGAAATTGCAAGAAAGGCGGTGGAGGAAGGGGGTTCGTCTCACCTGAACTTGATAAAACTAATACAAGATGTCAAAGAGCAAGCTAATTTTGGATAATCTATATGAAGTCTAGTGTTTGATTAGGATAATGCAATATATGGCACACATTTCATTTAAAACTTTAGCAAACTGTTAATGATACAAAATTTTTTTTTTTTTTTTGGTAAAAGGTACAAAATGTTTTGTTTATCCAGGATTTTACAAGAATGGACTATTATAAATAGAAGGATCCGTCTACTTTTAAAATTATAATTTCAAGTTTTTTTTCAAATGTGATTTTTGACATTTATATCTAGTTAAGAGAATTAGTTGAACCGTTGCTTAAAAAACAAGAATGGATTTTGTGTCAAACTTGGGGATTTCGAAATAATAAACCAAATAGAGAAAGAAAGACAAAAAAAGTACTTATTTAAATCACAAAATAGGCATGGGAATTGAACCTTCAACCTAGCTCGTAAATAAAAGGTGCACCCAATACCTATTTGCACTAAAAGATTTTTTTAGTTTGGATATATTTATATAATTTTGGAGAAATATAATATTGTTATACATGATCTCAGAATAGGAGCATGGATTTACGTGCACCCCAAACTTTGGATATGCTCCTGTTTGAAATATATTGTTGGGGTAAAACAGTACTCTTAACATGGTGTGATATTGTGCGCTTTGGGTTAAGCCCGCACGATTTTTCCCCAAAATACCTCACACCATTAAGAGATCCCTACGCCTTATAAGTACGGCGGTTATTTATGCGTCTTTGTGTTAGGACCGAAAAAAGTCAGGTGTCATGCGGAAGCTAGTAAAGCAAACCTTCAACGACGATAAATCAGACAACAAAACAGAAATCAACCAAAAGAGACACAAACATTTAACGTGGTTCGGTTAACTGACCTTTTAGTCATCTTACGCCTTGAGTTTTTTCTTCTAAAAAAGATTTTTCACGTTAAAATCTTGGTTCTCTCGTTATTCTTATTATCTACCGTGTCTTAATATTGGTTCTTTATTTCTATCATTATTTAATTTTTTGTGAATGGAAGAGGAAGATGGTGGTTATTTCAGTTTCATAGACAAATTGGTGATGTAAGAGCAAACATAAGCAAACCAAGAATTATATATTCTACTGTTTGTTTGTGGCTGCGCTCATTTCTTTGTAGTAGTCAGAAGAAAATAAATTTTCCATTTTTGCATAACTTTGTAACAACAATAGTCATTGAACAATTAAAACGATTCAGAGCCTGTAAAATTTTGTCATTTTTCCTTTAATCGTGATTTTGTTCCTTAATCAATTCAAATTGTTCCCTCATTAACCTTTTTTTTTTTTGTATTGTGTTTAGTTCGTTAATGATATTCTTTTTTGGTAATTAATTTTTCTATTACCAGGAAAATATTTACAAGTATATCAAAAATCCTCAACTCACATAGATTTGGACATGCAGCCCCAAATCTATTGTCCTCATATCTACATAGCTATTCATCTACAACTATGGATAAAAATTAAAATTCTGTAAATGTCTAGCTAGCTTAGAATTCAACATTCCACGACAATGCACTTCTTGGATTATCAGTTTAATCATTTCCTTGCTGCTTCTTTGTGTTCCTCTGAAGGTTCTCCAATTGCGTTCTTGCCAAATATAGTAAACTGCACAGACAAGTACCATTCTAAATGTTGCACATATTTGCTTCTTTCCTGAACCATGCTTGACTGCCCACTGTTTTTCAGCCTGCCAACCTAGAATATTCCTTTGGAATCCCATCCATTGTAACAGTTTACCCCATATATTTGCTGAGTAGTTACATTGAAAGAACAGGTGCTCATGACTTTCTGCTACATTTCCACATAGTGAGCATGCTGAGCTAATTGCTATGCCCCATCCCAAAAGTCCGTCTCTTGTATATAATCTCTCCATTATTGCCAAGTACAAGATGAATCTCCACTTAGGACTTCCCCAGTTGTTACACATTATTCTCCTCCACTCCACCTTAGGTAGATCACCTCTCAATTTGTTGTATATCAGTCTGATGGAATACTTCTTCATGCTCAACACTTCTTCAATTGCTATATTGGCCTCAGTTAGGTATTTACCAGCTCCCAGGATTTTTTGTACCAACCATGAAGCTTGGTTAGCTTTTGCTTTCCCTATTACTTGCTTCTTGATGTAGTAAGCATGAATCCACTGGATCTACAATCTGTCCTTCTTCATGTTTAGATTCCACAGTTTTTTATTAGAGCAGCTCTATTCCATATAACCATGTCTGTGATATTTAGACCCCCTGCAGATTGTGGCCAGCATAACTGTCTCCAAGCTACTAAGGCTTTTGCTTTTGTTTCTGTTTCACCTGTCCACAGAAACCTCTTGCAAATTGTCTCAATTGCTTGTAATATCTTCTTAGGTAGGGGAAATATCTATGACCAAAATGATTGGATAGCAAATAGAACACTCTTGATCAGCTGTAACCTGCCTGCATTGGATAGGAACTTTACTGTCCAGTTTTTGATTCTGCCAACCATCTTATCCAGCAGAGGTTGGCATTGAGCAACAGATAATCTTTTACTACTCAGTGGAACTCCCAAGTATCTGAAAGGTAAGGAGCCTTTAGAAAAACCTAAGCATTTAATAATATTTTGCTGCATATCTTCAGTAACACCTCCAAAGTAGATGCTGTTTTTCTCCTGGTTAGCAATCAACCCTGAAGCCTTTGAAAACTGTTGAAAGAAATCATACAGTAGTTGGACAGACACCACATCTCCTCTGCAAAATAGTAATAAGTCATCTGCAAAACTGAGTTGAATTATGTTCAGCTTCTCACACCTAGGATGGTAATTAAAATCAGGATTCTCTCTAAGTGTCTTCAAGCTCCTTGTAAGGTATTCCATAGCTAGGACAAACAAATATGGTGATAATGGATCACCTTGTCTAACTCCTCTTTTGGCATCAAAAGGAGTTGTTGGCTTCCCATTCACCACAATAGCATAAGACACTATAGTAACACATGTCATGATCCAAGCAAGAAATCTTCCTGGGATATTCATCTCTGTAAGGACTTGTTCAAGGAAACACCATTCTACAGTGCCATATGCCTTTTGCATATCAATTTTGACCATACATCTGGGTGATACACCTTTCCTCCCGTAAAACTTTTACAAGTTCATGCCCCATAAGGACATTGTCACTCAGTATCCTCCCTGGAACAAAGGTTGCCTAACTCAGATCAACTAAGTCTTCCATTACTAACTGCAGCCTATTTGTGAGCATTTTGGAAATGATTTTGTAAACTATAGTGCAACAGGATATTGGCCTAAACTGTTTTATAGAAGTAGGATTTTTCACTTTTGGAATCAAAGTGACTGTTGTCCTATTTATTGGCTTAAACATTATACCATCATCAAAAAACTTCAGGACAACTTCTGTGATATCTTCTCCAATTATATGCCAAGTCTTCTTGTAGAAGTAGGCATTGAAACCATCTTCACCTGGGGCCTTTGAGTCACCTATCCCCTTCAAGGCTGTTTGCACATCCTCCTTAGTAAAAGGTTCTATGAGTTGAAGCTGTTGTGATCTTGTAAGTCTTGGACCATTTCTCATTATGTTAGGGTTAATAGTAGGCATGTTGTTTGTTGATCTCCCTAGTAACCCTTCATAGAACCCCAGTATCTCCTTCTCAATACCCTGTGGATTACTAATCACTCTTCCAATGGTATCTGTTAAGCTCTTTATTTGATTCTGTGTTATTCTCCCTTTCATGCTTGCAAAGAAATAAGCTGTATTGGAATCACCTAACTGAAGCGATTGTATTCGAGACCTTTGCTTATAAATGCTCTCTTCTATATTACTCCATTTCTCCAGTTGTTGTTTTGTGATTTTCTCCATCTCAAACATATCAGCTGTAGTGTTAGTTGTCCTCATATGTGATTGTATATTTGCTAAATCTTCCCTTATCTGCTGCACTTTCTTTGTTATATTGGAGAACTCTCTTCTATTCAAACTCTTCAGCCCTTCTTTGATCTGCTTCAGATTATACCATGTACCCTTCATATTTTTGGTCTTCTTGTTCCAGTTGTTTCTTACTATGTCTTCAAACTCTGCATGTTCAGTGAGACAGTTGAAAAATTTGAAAGGTCTCCCTTGATACTCCATAGCTGCCTCCACCTCTATACATAAAGGAGAGTGATCAGAGAAATGAGGATCCATCACTGCAACTTGTAATGGTGGCATATTCATCATCTATTGAGCCTTTACAATAGCTCTATCAATTCTAACATGACAATTTGTCCATGTGTATGTTCTTCCCACAGTTCTTAGTTCATTGAAGTTGCAATCCTCCATTAGAGCTCTAAAATCCTTGGTTTCATTTTCTTGTATTTCTGTGCCATTAACTCTATCCTCTTTATCCATTACAACATTAAAGTCCCCCATGAGCAACCAATTACAAACGGTCTGCGAGTCAATTTTTCTCAATTCTTCCCACAAGTCATATCTTTGAGCAATAGTATGTAGTCCATATATAGCTGTAAAAGCAAACTGCTTACTGGAGTTGCTATTTTTGACTATACCATGAATATATTGGTTATGAGATTGCAACATAGTGAATTGAATACTATTTGCATCCCATAGAATCCAGATTCTACCTCTTTCATTCCCCTTACTGTTTGAGCACCAACTCCAGGCTGGTGCATATTTATTTATAATCTCCCTTTCTTTATTGCTCTGTACTCTATGCTCAACTACTGCTATAAGATTTATTTTTTGCTTTTCTAAGAAAATTTTCATCTCCTTTTGCTTATGTACTTTATTAAACCCCCTCACATTCCATGTAGGTTTCTGATTAGTTGGAATTATCACTTCTCCTGCTCCCCTACTACATCCAACTTTATCATCATCTGCCCAGCATATTTTACCTTCATTTGCTACTTCTCTCAATGGAGAAAAGCCATTTGTAGTCTTTATAACTTGCTGTATAGGACTTGTCAGTCCCACCTTGCCCTTTGCTTTAGTCCAGACTTGATGATCTTCTTTTGGATTCTGTGCTTCATCTCATTGATCAATCTGTTAGCCCATGTCCTTCTGTATCTGCTTTGTTGTCCCTATTGCCACCCATTGAGTTGCTGCTTTCCTTGTTTGCTGTATGTTTCCACTAACATTGGTACTCCTTCCTTGTTGTTTAGTCTGATTCTGGTCATTTTGTACACTTCTGTTTGTTGGTCTAGTTCTGTCTTGCTCTCTTTCACAGTCATGCCCCACCATCAAGCATTTCTTACAATACTGGGGAACCCAATCATACTCCACCTCTTGTTCAAATTCTTTGCCTGAAGGGTCTTGGATTTTAACACATTTAGGTAACTCCTTGCTAATATCCATCTCTATAAGCACTCGAGCATATGAGATTCTAGCAGTATTACTTGTACATTCATCAGCATACAAAGGTATCCCTAGTCCACTAGCAATTCTACTCAATGTCAACCTACCCCAACAGTTTAGAGGCAAATTAGGAAAGCTTACCCATAATGGAATAGTTTTGAGAACTTCATTGTACAAATTGAAGTCCTCAGTCCATGACTTCAGAATCATTAGTTTCACCCCCATTGTATATGGTCCTGAGTAGAGTACAGCATTTTTATCTTCCATACTATTGAATAGTACCACAAAGTAACCTTCATTATGGTAATACACTGTAGGTTTAGCAGCAAAATTCCATTGTACAGCTATAAATCTCTCCATGGCTCCTATTGATGGTGTTTCTCCAATGATGTATACGATTATAGCTTTTTGCCATTTCATAGTCTCCAATTCCATCTCCTCCTGTTGTAATTGTACCTTTTTAACCCCATCCTGAATAATAGGTGGTATGAACACTAGATCCATACCTCGTGCAGCCATTTTATTCCCTGTGAACAGATTTGACCATTTCTGTTGATTTTTCCCCATTACTGCTTTTGGCTTGTCCTGTTCAGCTTCCTTCGTTGTGTTCTAATTCATTACTTGCTGCTCTTTCAACACAATTTCTATGTTCTCACTGTCAATTGCTTTTGTTTCCTTGTTGTTCAGCTCCTTTTCCTTGTGGTTGTTCACTGCCTCCTTTGGTGCAACAGTTACCAATGGAACAGGGTTTTTGCTTGAAATTCCTTTATCTATCTTCTCATCAGTTGCCTGAGGTGTCAAATCCCTCATATTTGGACTCAAATTCTCCAGATCTCGAGCTAATTTCAGCTGTATGTTGTTCGATCCTCGAGTTGCCGCTAAGTTTGTTGGAGTTCCTTTGTCACAGCTCTGGACTTTCATTTGTGCATCTGCTTCAGTGTGACGTCCCTGACTTCCATTCCTGCTTCCTGAGGCAATGAATTCCGCTAGTTGTATCTTTGTCACCAGCTTTCTAGGTCGTCTCCTCCCCATTTTCCGATCAGCGCACGTTAGCAGATCACACAATCATGCGCCGAGAGAGAAAGTCTTAATGATATTCTTACACAACTATAAATTCAATTTTTGATTGTCGTCGGCATCAATTCATTTACCGATTTAATCTTTGAATGTCCAACTATTGGTTGAAGCGAGTAATATGAAAAAAAAAAAAGTTTCTATTTAGAATCAACATCTTACTACTGAAAAGATTGACTAAAATCAAAGAGGGCCACTTGCCCAAACCATTGTCCTCTGCAATAGGTTTTAGTTATTTTATTTTCTTGGTATGTTTTTTTTATATTAAAATCATCTTGATTTCATAAAGAAATAATCATCGTAATAGATATTGTCGTCAATTAAACTTGTAAAATCTTGGTGCAAGCTAGTGTGTATTGTGATAATCAATTGATTTTGATAGATAGCCTGCTTTCGATCGAATAACTTAAACTGACAATAAAATTAGAGGTGTTTGGCTGAATATCGTTAAACTGACTTATAAGTATGTTTTGATTTATCTTTTAATTAATATCAAAAGTACGTATAAGTATCAAAATTAAATAGGACATTTAGTTTGACTAAAAATTTTATTTTATTTTTAATAATATTTTATAATTCACAAAATTCCTTTCACAAAGCAAACCTCCTAGCTTTTTCTTCATTACACATTCATCATTCCTTCTTTTTTTTTTTAACCGTAGGAACTTTAAATTTCTAATCTTTATAAAACAATTAAGGATATTTAATTATTTTCAAAGAGAGCTTATCAGCAAGTTTTATCAAACA